CCTTAATAATAGTTCACTGTATACAAGAGGTAAAGCATATGTTTACATTATGCCACACAGTCACATACGAGACCCCAGGTGTGAAGTACTTGCTGACATCACTGCTGAATGGCCTAGTTCAGAATGCCTCCTTTTTCTGGACTCTGACCAGAAGGAATGGTTTTTATTTGTCCATATTCTTTAACAGTCCTAAACAACTTACTTATATCACACCTTAATCTCAATTTCCCAGTGAAAGAATTATTTACAGGACTACCAAGATTAACATGCTTATTAGATTTTTTTTAAGACTTAATTTAAGAAAACTGTTTTATTCCATCTTTCTCTTCGGGAAATATTTTAGCAAAAACATTACAGTACATACATGACAGTCCCACTGCCTTGCGATATCGGTACCTTCTATTGAACAGATTGGCTATAAGTCATACATACAGGGTTAAAAGGCTCTGTGACATCACAAAGAATAAAACAACACACACCAATAGTCCAGCAACAGTAATTTTAAACTATGAAATCTGTAAGCAACCGTAACTCACCGTGTGAGCCAAATGAATGCAAAGGGACACTGTGCAGAGGTTAGAAGTCTCATGCACTGCCTTCCCCACCAGAAGCAAGTTCTGAGATGGGAGGGCAAGAGCAAAGACAGTGCTGCTTTCTCTTCCCCAGTCAGACTCAGCAAGAAGGGAAGAAAGCGAACTCCCTGCCTAAAGGTCAATGAGGTCCACAAACAGTTACTTAAGGGCCTCACTGCTGGTATGCAGACAACAGCAAGCAGAGAACCCATCATACAGGGAGACTGTCCAGGAAAGCCTGCAGCCTCATGGGGAAAGGGTCCATTGTTTAGAAATACTCTGTGCCAAAATTGGGAATGCTGGCATTGGACATGACAAGGGCCAATGAAAGCCATTCTCCTGCCCTTGCTTTTAACTCCCTGCCACCCCGTCATAATGGTAGCAGGCCTCAGAAGCAATGAGGTTCCCACCAGTTTCCAAGCAGTGTTAAGGCTCTACATTGTGTGATATACATAAGAAATATAATTTATGTTTGAGTTTGGATTTTTGAATTTGAACAAGCACCTTGGGTGCTGCATGGGTCTAAAGGAGTTTAATAATTAAGTCATAAATAGTTTTGTAGCCACAGTGATATCTCCTAAAAATAAGTCCGAGGGAGAGTGCTGGAGGCTAATTGGAATTTGTTTATATCGGAAGAGTTTACAAGTAAATAAATTACAGTTTAACGTATTAAGC